ACAATCAAATCTCTAACTTATCCACGCTTGCAATAACCTTTTTATTGACAGGTTTCTGCTGGCATTTGATTGGACAACAGTTTAATGTAGGCGTGACAATCTATCACATTTATCCAATCAGCTGTCTTGTTAAACAAACCTGTGTGCGATGACCCACTGTCCACATAGTTTAGTTTAGAGAGTTTAGTAGTTTTTTTTATAATGAATTGATCATCAAAAGGACGTTGTTGCTATTGTTGGCCAGGGACTTTCTATACAAATGAAAAAGTCCATGTGTGTGCTTGTCAGATAGAAATAGACAACGCTTATATTTAAGAATAAAAAAAGTGATGAAAAAGAAATATTACTATGCATTGGATGGATATTAAGACCATGGAAGTACTATATTGAATATAGTACTTCCATGCTACGATTAATCAGTTCAGTTCAGTTCAGTTTCTTGTATATTCCTCCATTAATTGTGGAGCATTACCCATAGGGTATAATTGTAGCAACTATATACACCTTAGAACATAAGGAAACATTTAATTATGTACAGATGACTGAATTTAGGCAATAATAATTACTAAATAATTAATATTATAACTAATTCATAGGATTGTCATCATAAAATTTTAAAAATAATATTCATAATGTGCTGAAGTGTAAGAATAAGTTAAGTAAGAACTGGATATATTTACAAATAAGAATTTAGAATTTAAGTGGTCTTAAATTAAACTTTCTTATAATTGTTAGTTAAAGGTGCTATACGTACATCAGAATTTATAATGAGAAGGTTATTTTATAAGACTTATGTAAAAGGGTTGGGGTTTAGAACGATTCATCATATATACATGTTTTCCTTCACAGTTTAAAGTTACCTTATTTCGGATCTTATCATTATTCTTTAAAGGTAACTGGATATTTTAAAACTTTGCAAAAAAATTTATTTAATTTAGGTCCTAATACGTCATAGAATAGTAAGATGGTAAAGTAGGGAACTATTTTATTTTCAAAAAGTTTACTTATACTGTACTTGTGTTCAAGTTTTTTTTATCCTTTTTGTCCTCTGAGTATATGCATGGCTTGGGTGAAAGAAAAGCAATTGATCTATACTCATGCAAATAACCCTTTCAATTATGAATTCTTATAAACTGAACAAGTAATAGCTTTTCTAAAAAGCTAGCCGTCTCATAGCTGATGAAAGTGGAAAATGTTTTCTCTTTGTAGTTCAATTCGTTCAAAATTGTATGTAAATTGTAGTAGATAACAAAAATTATAAAAGGCTTATACCTTTTTTTAGATTTACCAATTTTTTTGGGGGGAAAGTATTAAAACTGGAAATTGGGGGTAATGTCTTTTTATCGATTATTTTTTTTCAAACAGATATCGGAGTTGTTCGTTGGCTTTTTCTTTGGTTGTTTGCTTGTTTATTTGTGTTAGAAAAGTATGGCCGCTTCCACCTGAAAGTTTTTCGTTCATAATAGGCATCGAAAAGTGTAGAGAGCAGGCATGGGGTAATGCAAATTTGTAATTGTAATGCATGGTAATGCATTACATTTTTCCAAGTAATTGCATGTAATGTGTAATGCAGCAATTTGTGCATTACATGTAATTGTAATATAATGCATTACTTTAGCAAAAAGTTGTGTAATTTCATGCATTACATGGCATTACATGTCATTACTTTTTTCACATACTACATCTTTAACATATTGTTGGAGTTTTAACTAAACCAAATTTAAGATTTCTTGATTAATTAAGAATATGTTAATTTTAATTAAGGTCTATGTTTATTTTATAATTAGGGAAGTAATTCACAGTAATTAAATATTTCGTTTAAAATTTAAAGAAAAACAACAAAAAATATTTTTATAAAAGTAAAGTCAACATTAAGTTAAAATAATTAAAAATTGTAAAAGTCAAATTAAATAGACTTTTTACATGTATACTTATATTCAATTCATGGAACAGTTACTGCATATGCTATAATCTTTTGTGAAATGTAGTTGTTTTTCAAAATGTTTAATTTTTCTATTCACTAATAAAATTTTCAAATGTAATGTGTAATTCAAGGCATTACTTTGCAAAAGTAATTGTAATATAATGCATTACTTTGATAAATGCATGTAATTGTAATTGTAATATAATGCATGGTTTGGTCAAAGTAATTGTAATATAATGCATTACATTGCAATGTAATTCGCCCCATGCCTGATAGAGAGTGAAACGTAGTAAAATTTAAACATATAAGAACACAATTAATATATTTCCAACGGTATCTCACATCTTTTCAAAAATGATCCTTAAAATGTAAAGCTTCACATATATGTATGGTTATTTTTGTTGTCGATGAAGATTTTGTCTATTCATTGTAGTTGGACTGCAATGTGGAATGCCCCACGCCTCTTTTTCTATATTTGAATAATGAGTATCCTTAACAATTAAATGTTTCTTTTTTCAGATTATTTGGTTTTATTGGACTTCTTGATTTTATTTTTTGATGAAAAATACTCAGAGTCGTGAGACGGGTAATTTGTTATATAAGACCTATTGTAAGCGCCTGAAAACAAAGTAGTTTCGCCGCCATTTTTTTTCAAATCATAATAGACGTCGTTGGTTATAAAGAAGGTGATAAGTTCTGCAAAGCTACTTTAAGTTCACTATGAGGCCATCAACATAAGAGAATCAACAAATTTGACCAAAACTTAATCAAGCATACAGCTTGATACTGTATCTTTTGTTATTGTTTTACTTGTACATATCTTCATATTTATTTACTATACCATTTAATGTTGGGTGACGAATAAGGCCCTTATCATACTTACCCTTAAAAGCTTGACATACTGGATTGACATTATCTTTTGTGGGAGACCGTTCGTATGTTGACATATAAATGTCTTTTTGTTTTATGATCATAGTATATGTATGTTTATACTTGTTTTTACAATTCTTGTAGAAAACATACAATTAAGAATAATCTTTTAAAGTGCCAACAGTATTTTCGTCTTTTAAATTTATAATTTTCTTTTCTTTCTCTTTCTCTCATTTAGCATGTCTAGTATAAATAGTCAATAAACCTCAAAACAAACATTAGAAGTTTGTTCCTGACCCTGCTCATAGTTCCAAGTAATATCTGAATTATTTTTTGCTATTAAGATTATTTTTTGTAACAAAAAAAATGTTCCGGCGTGACATTTGTTCCGCTGGAACTTATTTCATAGGAAATATGTTCCACCGGAATTTATATCACAGAAAATTTTTACCCGGAATATATATTTTAAGAAAATATGTTCCAGCACTGTAAAATTTGTTCCGGAACTAATTTTTTTACTAAATGTTAAATAAGTTCCGGGTGTTATAGATTAACATGATGCATTAACTTTATATCAAGCAAAACATTCTATAGTTGTACCTGACAAGTTTAATATTCAACATTGAAGTCTTTAAACAACACGACAACGTTCAAAATAAGGTAAATCTTTGAGAAATTCAAATTAAGTCAGCATATATATTGTACGTAGATAATATGATTAAAAAACAAATGCACAACTATTATTAACAACTGCGATAAATATTTAAAAAACACTATTTCATTTTTTGTCTCGCCTTGACGGAGTCAAAAAGCGAGACATAGGTATGCTGTTTCCGGCGTCGGCGGCGGCGGCGGCGTCGTCAACAATGTATTAGTTTGTGATTAGGTCTAGTTTATGGCGAACCACAAGTGGTAGGTCAATCATATTTGGTATGCAGTTGTATTAGCATTGGCACATCTCATTTCCATGGAGATTATTTGGCCCTGTCCCCTCAGTCATGGTCTATTGACTTTGAAACTTTTGCTTACTTTACATGTATTAGTTTGTGATTAGGTCAGTTTATGGGGAACCACTAGTGGTAGGTCAATGATATTTGGTATGCAGTTGTATAAGCATTGGCATATCTTATTTCCATGGAGATTATTTGGCTCCCTTAGTCATGGTCTATTGACTTTGAGAATTTTGCTAAGTTAACATGTATTAGTTTGTGATTAGGTCAGTTCAAGGGGAACCATTTAGGGTAGGCAAATGTTAATTGGTATTCAGTTGTATAAGCATTAGCACATCTCATTACCATGGAGAATATTTGGCCCCGCCCCCTCAGTCATTGTCTATCGACTAAGAAACTTTTGCTTAGTTTACATGTATTAGTTTGTGATTAGATCAGTTTAAGATGAACTGCTAATGTTAAGTAAACGATATTTGGTATGCAAATTTATTGGCATTTGCAAATATCGTTTCCATGGATATTATATAGCCTCACCCCCTCTTCATGGTTCATTGACTTTGAAACTTTTACATAGTTTATAAGTTAATGTTTGTGTTTAGGATTGTTTAAAGGGAACGACTTATAATAATTCAATGGTATTTGGTATGCAGTTGTATTAGCTTTGGCAAATCTCATTTACATGGAAATTGTTTAGCCATGAACCTCAGTCATGGTTCATTGACTTTGAATATTTGCATAACTTATGAAACATGTTAAAGTATGCTATTTTAATTTCAACATTTGCATAATCAAAATTACAAAAGGATGAGACATATTTCTGTGATAACAGTTTATCTACAAATTCTGATATGAAGTAACATATGTTGAATTGCAATATTCATAAATAAATGATTGATCTATAAAAAATTTCTGACGGATTTTTCTTATTCTTCGCTTATCTGCCTCATTAAATTATTGTCATTTGGATATTTTTGTATGCATAATGTAATTAAACATTTTGCTATACTCCACAGAATCCATATTGGATGTTTACACCTTTTATTTATTACATTATCAATATAATACATGTTTTTATAATGAACTTGAATTATAACTTTAAGCTCACTGATAACAATGCTCAGTATAAAAGATAACTTGTATAACCAGTGGAACATATTTCACAGACAAGGAACTTATTTCACCAGGTAAGGAACAAATCTCACAAACCTTGAACTTATTTCACTAGGTAAGGAACAAATTTCACAAACCCAGAACTTATTTCACCAGGTAAATTGTTGAACTTATTTTATAGAGATGGAACAAATCATATAGAAATTATCTGTGAAAAAAGTTCTCCCAGAATATATTTCCTGTGATATTTGTTCCACTGGAACTTTTTTCACAGGAACTAATTTTGGCTCACATATTCACAACTATTCTATATATTATAGTTAGACTTGGGAGGATAAAAAACTTTAAAATGTTGTAATGACATGTCCATTGAAGAAGACCGTAGATTGAACTTTAGAAGTAAATTGTCACGTTTTGTTTGTTGCTTAATTGGGTTGCTGTCTAAATTAATTATGTATACTTCACATCTCCTTTAAAATCATTCATAGAAATTAAACATTGCTTAAAATATGTTAGCATACATCGTCTGAGAGTAGTTTTTTGCTCTTCTTATATTCCCTTTTAGATATATTTTTAGTCTTCTGTTCTTCAACCTCTGCTATATCTTGCTAGGAAGAGCTAGCTAGGTAGATCTAGACAACATCCAACTCAGCCAAACGATCTTGGGGTGTGTGTGGGGGCACTTATTATGTAATGAGTGGAATGGATGAGTCGCTGGGAAAGGTCACTGTTTGAAGCTTCATGAAATTGCATGAGGTCGAGAAATTTAGGTGAAATATAAGACAAGGTTGATGATTGAATCTGAAACTAATCAGATGTCGATATTTTTTTACAGATGCAATTAAAATCACCAGAGATTGTGTATATATGTCTCTAAAATCACTTTCGTAAATGTTTAAGATATTTGTCAAATCTATTTACTAGTATCTCCCCATGAAATAACGTAACAATGATAGCTATGTCACGGCAGGTATATATACGTATTGTAAAAAATATATGATAGCTAGGGTAACTGCATGTATGTTCTTTTATCATTCAATATATATAGTCAAATGCTTTTTGTTAAAATATACTTTTTCACTCATTTGGTCTTTTGGAAAATGTTGTTTGTGCTGTATTTAGACCCCTCTACCAAGAAATTTGTTTTGCATGCACACGTATAAAAATTGCGGTTTTTATCCAACGCAATCATGGGTTTGAACGTTGTTTTCAATTTAGACTTGTTTATATTTTTTCGTTTGGGCTTGTATTATATTTGCCTTCGGACTTATATGATCCGTTCATCCTATTTTGACTCTTTCAAAATTCAAGAGTCTATCCTAAATTGAGGTAAATTATATGGCCTTCCAAATACCGTTTCGATTCCTAACATCGCTGAAGAGACATTAATTGTCGAAATCCGGATATGGTGTACAAATGTTTGCACCTCATGTTTGCGGTATACCATCTTTTCCGCAAGTTTATTGTTTGCTGTTTGGTAATAAATTAATGATAAGATCTAATTGTTACATCTTGTGATCCGTTTATTTGTCAATCGCCAATGGCAGTCAACAGGGTTTAAGAACATCAGTTGTTCGACCTGCTAGTCAAATGCGTTTTGTTAAAATATACTTTTTCACTCATTTGGTCTTTTGGAAAATGTTGTTTGTGCTGTATTTAGACCCCTCTACCAAGAAATTTGTTTTGCATGCACACGTATAAAAATTGCGGTTTTTATCCAACGCAATCATGGGTTTGAACGTTGTTTTCAATTTAGACTTGTTTATATTTTTTCGTTTGGGCTTGTATTATATTTGCCTTCGGACTTATATGATCCGTTCATCCTATTTTGACTCTTTCAAAATTCAAGAGTCTATCCTAAATTGAGGTAAATTATATGGCCTTCCAAATACCGTTTCGATTCCTAACATCGCTGAAGAGACATTAATTGTCGAAATCCGGATATGGTGTACAAATGTTTGCACCTCATGTTTGCGGTATACCATCTTTTCCGCAAGTTTATTGTTTGCTGTTTGGTAATAAATTAATGATAAGATCTAATTGTTACATCTTGTGATCCGTTTATTTGTCAATCGCCAATGGCAGTCAACAGGGTTTAAGAACATCAGTTGTTCGACCTGCTAGTCAAATGCGTTTTGTTAAAATATACTTTTTCACTCATTTGGTCTTTTGGAAAATGTTGTTTGTGCTGTATTTAGACCCCTCTACCAAGAAATTTGTTTTGCATGCACACGTATAAAAATTGCGGTTTTTATCCAACGCAATCATAGGTTTGAACGTTGTTTTCAATTTAGACTTGTTCATATATATATATATATATATATATATATATATATATATATATAAAGAGTGGGGTATTGGATGTCTCAGCTGCTCACCTCTGCCATAGAAAGGTCGAAGTGCCGCCGCCGCCGCCCCCGCCCCCTGAGATAAAAATTCTTGTGTAAATTAATATTAATCGAACAGAAATTATTTGATATCTCCGTTTTAAAATGTTTGTGTTGCCTTTAGATTATCTTACCGAGTAGGGGGCCTCGGTGGCCGAGTGGTCTAAGTAGTTACTACTGTAATCACTAGCCAGTCAACACTGAGGTTGTGAGTTCGAACCCCGCTCGTGCGGGTGCACTCGACTCCAATCTTAATTGGCTAGGATTGTCAGTTTTCCTATCGAAGGTCGGTGGTTTTCTCCCGGCGCTCCGGCTTCCTCCACCAATAAAAACTGGCCGCCACGAAATAGCCCAAAAGCGGTGCTTCAAAGTGGCGTTAAAACACCAAAAATCAAATCAAATCAAATCTTACTGAGTATAAATAAATATAACCTAAGAAAAAGGCATTTTCCTAAAAGTTTTCTTATGTTTTCACGTATAAAATGTACGTAACATGAAATAATCACGTGTGTGTTTACAAATCTTTAGGAGATTTGGCTATTTATAGATAAGTGTTACCTGTGTACCGATATGCATGATTGGTAACCAGGCAAATCTATTTACTAAAATAAAGAGTTCAGATCCGACACTCTACGGGATTAAAAGACATTTACTAGGTTTGAATTGTCCCAACCAATGAACGAAATTTAATTATGACAGCGTAAGTAATATCTTCCAATTAGGTAGTAAGAAAGCCTTCAGCCCGCAGACTGTCCATCGTTCAACTCTTAATACCGTCTCCGAGGAGACGGTAATAAAAAGTAATCAAACAGAACTCAAACTATAGGAGATGTGGAATAAACTTCAATTTGACAGCAACCAAACGACAAAAACGCCATAGGTAAATCAGATATGTCTTTGAGTAAAAGCCAATTTCTATTGTTTCACTGTTTTTATTTCAACTAGCGCAATTAAACAATCACTTTTTCCAAATATATTTTTTCTAACAAAGCATCAAAGAAAAGATCAACAGCCCTTTTATCATTACTACTTAGCAACAAGGAAACATAATTTACCAGTTAAAGATTGGTTGGATCAATTTTCAAGGTGATCAGACATTACACAAGAAGAGCGCGTGCCCCGTAAAAATGTTAACTTGTATTTGTAGTATTTGTATTTTTATCCATCTGATGAGTTAAGCCTCTTTCAACTGATTTTTATAGTTCGTTCTTATGTTGTACTGTTACACCACTGTCCCAGGTTAGGGGGAGGGTTGGGATCCCGCTAACATGTTTAACTCCACATTCTTTATGTATGTGCCTGTCCCAAGTCAGGAGCCTGTAATTCAGTGGTTGTTGTTTGTTTATGTGTTACATATTTGTTTTTTGTTCATTTTTTGTACATAAATTAGGCCGTTAGTTTTCTCGTTTGAATTGTTTTACATTGTCATTTCGGGGCCTTTTATAGCTGACTGTGCGGTATGGACTTTGCTCATTGTTGAAGGCCGTACGGTGACCTATAGTTGTTAATTTCTGTGTCATTTGGTCTCTTGTGGAGAGTTGTATCATTGGCAATCATACCACATCTTCTTTTTTATGATAACTTTTAAATCTCTTAAGATTTTCGAACCAACTTTGAACATATTTTTTTACATTATAATAATCAATCTTAATTTACGATCTTGGTGCATATTTAACCTTTCCATTCATATCCTTAGTTCAGACGACATAGTACTATTGGCAGAAAGTGCTGATGATTTACAGAAACGGCTGGATTCTTTCAGTGAATACTGTAATATTTGGAAGCTTAAAGTTAACTAAAATGATGATTTTTTCTAGAGGCAGAATGCCGTCAAATTTACATTTTTATATAGCTATAGACGGCACTGACATTGAAAATATTAAAAGAATTTAACTATTTGGGCATATTATTATCTAGAACTGGTAATACTAAAATAGCACAGAAACACCTAGCAGAAAAAGCCACACAAGCTATGTTTAAGGTGTTGAAATCAGGCCGCATACATAATCTTTCCACTCAGTGTCACTTAGATCTTTTCTATAAAGTTGTGAAACCCATACTTTTGTATGGATGTGAAATTTGGGGGCATGGTGATGTTGAAATTATAGAAAGAATCCATCAGAAATTCTGTAAACTTCTTTTGAAACTGAAAATTCCACACCTAGCTATATGGTATACGGAGAACTTGGTAGATATCCTTTAAATTAAAAATAGTATCTTATTGGTGTAAATTAGTATCTGCTAAAGAGACTAAGTTATCTTCTATCGCATATACACTATTAAAAACACTATTTACTGTTAATAATGTATGTACATTTTTTGTGAGTGAAGTTAAAAATATATTGGATGAATGTGGTTTTTCAAATATTTGGATTTCTCAATGTTTTGGTAATGATATATGATTAAAAAATGCACTAAAGTTGCGATTACAAGACCAATACAAACAGTTGTGGAATACACAATTTCAAGAGTCTACATAATCAGTAGATTATAGAATTTTTAAGTTAGAATTAAATTTTGAAAAAAAATATTTTGATATGTTGGATATGCACGAAAGTATTATTTTGTGTAGATATAGAACCACAAACTACAGACTCTCAATAGAGACAGGGAGGTGGAATAATGTTAATAGAAATGATAGAAAATGTCATCTTTGTAATATTGGTAGCATTGGAGACGAATTTCATTATCTGCTAGAATGTCCATTTTTTAACGACAGTAGAAAATTATACCTTGATAAGTACTATTTGGCTTATGTTAATACACTAA